GAAAGAGTTGCAGGATCTACAGGTCTCATCTCAAGCCTCTCAAGCCTCTCAAGCCTCTTTTGATTAAGAGCTGTCTAAGTGGCCGCATCTGCGGCGTTCCTTGGGGGCCAGGTTGGCGTTCGGCAATTACTCACCAAAGGTGCCAATTCTTGCACTTGAGCACTGATGCCCAACGGAATACAAGCGTCGCAACCTGAAAGACGAAGGGTCGCAGGATTCTTGTCATTTCCAGTTCATCAGATCTGCAACCGCCAGAGATCTACGTCTCAGCCAGACTCTTAGCATCCGCACCGCGTCTTAAGTGGCAACCTGTATTGCTCGACCATCCTCAAGTCTCAACGGAGGGGAACAAGAATGACTGGCGTGATACACAACGCTCAACGCCTTACCCTCCGTTTTTGGGACTCGGCTGCCCTTTCAAAGGTTAGCAACGATCACAAGAAGGTGATTTATCACCAACAGCGTCACAGAGGGCCAATCGAAACGGCCAGTAGCGATCGACAACACTACACGGTGCTCAGGCAGGCAGATATTGACCCAAGTGGCGAATTTTGTTCTTTCTCCGCAAAACCCCGAGGCCCGTTTTTATTCCGTGAGCGAGCAACCGCTTTCGATTCAACCATCGTCATCTTGAGACCGACATGTTAAACAAACAAGTATCAAGCTGAAGAACAATCAGGGCCTGTCGACAGGATAATGCCAAACCTATTCGTACCTGGCATGACACCAGTTGAAGAGACCTTATTTTTGACGTGGAGTGTCAATGTCAGGTTTCACATACCCTGGCTGCACTGGGATATGGTCGTTACGTTGCTAGCACCATGTTCCTTTTACATGTTCCAGGCCCCCCATTATCGCGTCTGGAATAATCGCCTGTGCGCAGCGGAGTATTAGCCGCACCTGAGTATCTCCGTTAGAGGCTGTGAGAGGTATTCCAATGTGAACACTAAATACCATACGCACAGGTGATCATCCGTCTGTAATCCTCCTTGTGATACTCTCGGATGGATTTTTGCCTGCCTGGCGAACGATGCTTAGCTTACTCAGGGGTTGTTCTTCGTAGAAACAATAGAACAAAAGTGGCCATCGAGGCTACGTACCGTAGCAAGTCCGACAGCTTTGTGGATCGTTTTAATGCCGGGATACGCGAGGTGTCATTCCGAATAGTGGACGAGGTCAGATGCCCGGCCACGCGAGAAAAGACATGGATACTCCCCGGACTGCAGCTTTGGTCGAACCGGCAGAACCTGACGTCGAATACCTACTGTCTGTTTAACACGCAACTTGGTAAAGCCTACGAATAACATTCGTACGTCTCCAGCCATTGCTGATCAGTGCTGGGGACTGCATGTTCCTCCCCGACTCGAACGATAACGACGCCTTCGCACTGGAGTCTCAAGGGTGTTTGTGGCTGATTTAAGCCGGGACGATCGATTCCGACAGGGCACCTTCGGGTGATAACTGACACTAAGTGTAACGCAGCAGACGAAAGATGTCGAGACAACCCTAGACTATGCGATGAGCAGCCTCATATGATGGTCATGGACGCCCATCCACGGCTGACAACGTACCCTGTTCCGCGAGGCTTTGAGGTAGACTGCTACAAGCTATTGAAAAGGCGATTGCTGAACAAAACTAACTCATTGGCAAGGCTTCAGTTGATGCGGCCGGATATACGACCGAACGGCCCGTTGCCTTAACACTCGGCGTCATACTTGACCCCGCCAGAGATCACACAAACACATTCGATAATACTTGTGCAGAGGCACGTATAACGCTCCCTTACGTAGCCAAAGCCTGGCTGTTTGCCGCAAGAATGCTTCGCACAGCTTTCAATTCGCCTATGAATCCATAGTACGAAGAGAAAGTAAATCAACGGATCCCACTCCGGGAGGGGTTCTGCTGAAATCTCTATGATCCACCCTGGTCCCAGGTCCATGTACAGAGTTTTGGATGATGACCTCACATGTTTTCGCTGGAAGATCTCTGGCAACCTCGCCTACTCTTGGTTGCTTCAGAAATGAAGCTTTGGGGCCGCCAATCCCAGAAGATAAATCGGTGGCTCGTAATGCCTCACTGATCTTGTACGAAGTGGAAATAGCACAGAGCAGTCTTTAAAGTCACCCAAATACTACCTTATCGACAGCAGACGCGGCCTTTCACGATACGCCGGCCTCGAAGGCCTGCATCATGCCAGAAATCCAACGGCACCACTATATGCAGGTGATGCGATCATGGTTCAAACAAGAAGCTTGGGGGAAAAAATCAAGATAAGGCACGGAATGCTAACCTTTTCGTCAGCAGCCGCTCGTGGGATACCGGCTATGACTTCTCGCTCTTTGAGGATACCATGCACACAGTGACAACGATAGGATTGCTCCTTCAGGGAGGGCTTCTTTTATTGAATTTCAATGTGTCAGCGACACGGTGCGATGTCAGAAAGATCGTCGCTCCGTTGAGATTACCACAACCAGTCCAAGCATGGCGGGGCTATTGTCTCCGATGCGGGACCCGCGGTGCCAAAGCCAAATTTCATTCCCACTGGCGGCGATGGACCGATGGACCCGTGGTTTCACAGGTGCAGACTGCAGCTCGTCGAAGCAGGCAGGGTAGGGCTCCGAACTCATTCTTCTCTCCAGTCTCCAGGCCAGGCGTCTTTGGTCCACTCCAGAGACGGTTCAGGCTGCAGCGCAATGCATCTGCCCCCCATCGATGGGATCCCCCCAATCTAAGAAAGTTCATGATTTTGGACCCGCCACGGCCTCGGACAGCGTGTCCCGCGCTGTGCTAACCATTTCACCCTGTCCCTGAAGGTCGTTGTGCATGGGAGACAGGAAAGTACCTGTGCCGTACCCTCCGATTTCGTCGCCGTGCTATCATCTATGGAGTCGAACGGATATGCATCCACTGGAAAGATTTGAATTGCGGTCCTTGCGCTCGAGCCTCGCGTGGTGGAAGCAGGCGAGAAGGAAAAGAGAAGGCCATCTCCACTTGTTCTGTTCATGCCGATCCCTTGTCGCTGACTATCACTATCAACCAGGATTGGTTTATTTCCTCTTTGAAATCACCACATCATGGGGGTAGCCGCTAGTCGGGTCGATTGATCTTGACAGAATCGAGTTCAAGGACGATGTCAAATGTCCGTGACGTCTCGGGCCTACTAGTGTACACCACGAGGGTTTCGGCGGGGCCGGCGACCCATTCACCCATTCTGAGTTCTGAGCTGAGAGCCTGAAAGAGAGAGACAGAGAGAGAGACAGAGAGAGAGAGAGAGAGAGAGAAGGAGAGGGAGAAAAAGAGACAGAGAAGACAACATGGCCAAGATGCGGTCGGAGTGGAGCTACTGCCCAGTGCCCATAGGCTACCATTGGAGACCCTCACGCCAACAACAGAGGAGTAACATTTGAGGTCAAATACTGTTTGGCATGTTTCTAACAAAAGGTACGGACGGGCACGACCTGAGCTCAATCTGCCCCTAGATCTCACGAGATTCAAAGTCTGGACTCTGGATAGTATAACCCAGTACGGATACCCAAGTCGTCAACAGTCAATACCATAGTTGACAAGTGGACTCCTTTCGGACTCGCCTTACCGCCTCCTCTCCAGGTCCACCATATATCAAGTTAACTTTACTGGCTTCCGCTCGTCTCGTGTAGACAGATGAACAGACAAGGTTGGTGCTGGTAACGGAGAGGTGCTTCGATGCTTCGCCCTTTTCCCCCTTCTCGCCCACTCCTTCCAAGGTTCCCTGGCCTGGGCTGGTGAGCGTGGGCTGTCGAGGTTTAGGTACAGCTGCACGTGGAGCTTGTAAGTAACTCTACTTTGAACCGTTGAAAGTTTCTGACAAGGCAGGGGCGCGAAGAACAGCCTGATTAGGTCTCTGGTACGAGCGGGAGTCGGCCTTCACAGCACATGTCACAAGTCCCTCGCACCTCGCGCTTCCACCGCGTGCTTGTGTTAGTTCCCTGCATGGTGGAGTGTTCCCGTCATTTGACAGCTGCGGCGGATGCCAAAATGGCGTTTTCCCGACGTCCCCTTGGAACCCTTGGGATCCTTGGGATCTCGCTTGCCCTTCTTCTCTCCACTTTTCCTTCTCGAAAGAGTTCAGAGTTGAAACGGCCGAGCACCCGTTGGTGGCCTCTCCTCTCGACAGGAGTCCCTGGGCTCTCCTCCTCTCTCACGGTTCAACGCTCAGTCCTTGTCTGGCTCCTCACAGGCTCACATAGCACACCTCGCTGCTCAGGCAGATGCTCCTTGTGCTTGTGGCTCCCGAATACCTACGAATACTCGCGTGGGCTCAACCCAGCTTGCCAATCACCCACCCACACCCCCTCTCCACGATCGAAGTTTCGATAATCCTTCTCAATGCTGCCCTGCTGGTGCTATTACCAAGGGTCGCGGAACATCAAACCGATCATCGTCTGCGCCTATTCGTACCTCACCAGCGGGGTCTGATGAAGCGGGCCACCATCTCCAGCTTTGACTCTCTATCCACGCGTCCTTGACAAGCGAGCAGACAAAAAAGGCACACGTCCGGCGGTCACTGTCTACTCCGGCACGACAATCAACAGCATTATGCGTATCCGTATGTACGGATACAATGAGACGACCACACCCGAGTCTTTGACAGGCAAACAAACTGCAATGTACTCGTAGTCTGGCCAGTCATCTGTACATACGCATACAGAATCGAGGTTTAGCCCACACGGACCCCCATATTCGTCTCATACTCCTCCGCCTGCTCCTCATTATCGTATCGTCGCGATCTATTTTCGGCCTGAGCCCCGACTATTTTATATCAGTGGATGTTGCAATCCCGAGCTGAAATCTCAAAGTACGTCAGACTAGGAGGGATGCCCGTTTCATTCGAGAATCCGAGATGCCGCGATAATTGCACCAACGCCAGCGAGGTAGCGAGAGCCTACCTATTGCGACTCGACATTGCTTCAAGTCTGGCGTTGCAACGGACGTATTGTCTGCCGTCTGCGTCTGCGGGTAGTGAAGGCCGGAGAAGGGGGCGTGTTCGAAGAGCGAGCAGCAAGCACCCCAACACATCCACGCCACACCCTAGTCTATCGCCTCTCTGATCTCCTTACCGCATCTTCACTTCATCTGCAGGATTCATGCCGCTTGCTTCCTGCCAAGTTACCTTTGCCCTAGTCTTGCCGCGTACCTACGACCAACCAAGATGGGATCGACGATGCACATCCAGGCAGCCCCCCTTACAATCCTCTTTGTAACCCGCCGTGGGCACGACGTCGCCCAATCCAGCAAGCACATCTCTTTTCGGCAGCCTTGCTCGACCAGTGGCTCTCTTTCTGTCGCGCGATGTGCCTACACCCCCTTTCTCCCCTCTGCATTAACCATTGTCGCCGCCACCGTTGGTCATCTCATCTGCGAGGAGCGGAACCAAACCGTCTGGCACATGGGGACGATGTTCGCGGCCACTTCGGTGAGCGTAGCGTCCACTGCCCACCCACTGAGGAGATCGTCTGCTGACACCTCGGCGTCTCTCGCGGGATCTTGCGCGTTTCTCACGATCTCATGCAGGCTTACCACCACTCGATATAAAACACCAGCCCTGGTCCACGTCACTCCCTGGCAGGCTACACTGGCGCGGTTCACGATTGACTTTCCGCTCGATACGGGCACTTCAATCCAACCGTTCCTACTCGGAGCTACTGCCTTTTCAGGCAGCCATCTCCTGACTAAGAGCAAATCACCACTGCCATCATCTTCTGCCTCGCTCCGCTTTATTGGGCCATGCGCCAGATCCGGCCATCGCTATCAAAACATCACATCTCAATTCTTTGACTGGGTCGTTTCCGCTGTTTCGACATGGGTTTGGATGCGGGATCTTAATGTACTCCTCAGGTACCCGAAAAGTCATGATCCAGCATCCATCTAGTCTTCCATGGCGCGGATTCGTGATTTCACCCCGGAGTGCGGAGGATTTCTCATAAAAACCACATGTTAGCGACGTTGACCACAGTATTACGAGCATCAAAATCTCTTGGAGACCCAGGGCTGTCTTCGAGCTGGTGGCCTTAGATTCAACGGCAGCTCAGCGCCGGCTAAACACCCCAGGACCTCATCTCGACGCGACCCAGTTGCGTTGCTGCCGCTGGGTATGTCAGATCATTCTCATGTTTGTTTTCTAGCTTCATATGCAGATCTCCATTCTCGAATCCCGGCGCAGGTAACTGGCCGCTATACCCACAACCCAGTAGTGCCGCCTCACCGACCTTGGATCGATATGCCGGGCCGCTATTCAAAGTCACATTGCAGTTGACACATGCAGCCACCCACGATACAGACGGAATAATGGCCGTTGACGTCCCGCCATTTTCATTGATTTCGACAGCTTTTCGTCAAACTCTCCGTCTGTTACTCCTGCTTTGAAATGCTTTGCAGGCGTACGAGCGCAGCATGTGATGAGTTGTGGCCAAACCGAGCTCTCAAAGTGCGGCCGCACTTTGCGGTCTAGCCAGTCAAACCCAATTTCTTGGTGAAAACAAAACAGGAATGCCTTGCTGCTTAGCGTTACTCAAGGATGTGTCAGGCACGGTGGCACATCCCGAGTCCGAGGCGATAGCAGCTAGCTCGCGACTCACCATGTGGCTTCAGCTCATGGGCCAGACGACACGCTCACCCCGACCACAAGTCGAAGCGAGGCCACCACTGCTACCCCGTCCGCGGTAGGATCTGAATGACCCGACCTTCACACGGAACCCTCACTTCATCATTCCATCAATATGCCGCCTTCTTCGATGCGCCGATAGCTAGGTAGGGTGGCATTTCACCATCACTCGATCGTTCGTTCACACCAGCAAAATACGTCCATACTGGTCAGTTGATGATCTGCCGTTCCTGTAATCGATGATTGCTCATGCAACCATAAGCCGTGTGGTTACGTTGAAGCCCAAAGATCCTGGCGCGAAGATCGTTGTCTATGCGCCTCCATCATACAACAGGCGAATGCACCTCGCAGGATGGTTGACGGCCTTGCGATCGACCCAGGTCGGCCGATGGGAAGTTGGAACAATACGGATACACAACAACCGTTTCCAATCAACATTGGGTGAAAGGGCGCAACTACCATTTAGTGCTCGTGTTTTCATGAGTGGCTAAGCCTCAGCGAATCAGTGATGTTGGACGGAGATTCTTCATCGCAACCACCGCCCCAAGCCCGAGGTGGCTGGTGCGCGACGCCGCCTACTTGGGCCAACATCGACGTACGAAGTAGATTCCTCGATTATCTCAAGCAAGGAGTAGCACCATCGGGATGAAGCGCAGACTAGATGCGATGCACCCGGTCCTCGTCAGCAGTTCCCTAGGATCTGGCTCTGACATGCCAGTTATGCTTGGCTCCTGGTGCGATCGTCTGATCTGGAGATCGGTCTGCCACGCAATCCACACACACACGCGCGCGCACCATCATCTCGCATTTGTGTCCGGCAAATAAAATGTCACGAACGATACCACTCATCCAACTTCCATGTCGGATCGAACGGGGCTAAGGGGATATGGAGCCTGACCGGTGAGAGTGACTGCATCGGCAATAATATCTAACCCCAGCTCTCGGGCGACGGTAGCCAAACATAGGATGAGGCGGCTTTGTTCGCGACAAAATGGTCCGACTCCTGGGGCACAACTATGGTCTATCGGCGTATCGACTCCAGTCATCAGCATGCTCAGGTTCATCTCCAGCTACCAGCGTCTCGTCGGTAGTGTCAGAAGTTGGAAAAGAAATTGTCTAGCGCCCGAAAAGGTCATCAACCCCGCTTCCCGGCCATGTGGTTAACACACTCAGGGCCCTCCCAGTAAGGAGATTAGAGTGGTTGGCGAGACAGGTAGCCCCATGCTCTTCCTAGGTCTCGGCAACGAGATCAGGCCAGAAAGAGCCCGTAGTCGATTGCTCGCCCGTTGAAACAACCCCACGCCGCAAGCCAACGGAAATCTGGTACAGAAACGGCGCTATGCCCGGCCGTTGAGGCAACGTCGACGTGCGCGACTCCAAGACTGCGGACGTACGCACGGCCAGATCTCTGGCAAGAAGCTTCTAACAAGAAACGGCTCATGAATCACTTCACACGAGAATCGACAGTTCCTTCACAGTGCGGAAAGCCCTGTTCGACTCCCGAGAAGAGATCAAACTGTACCTAGCCTTTCGGCAGAGGAACGGCAGCAGGCGTCAGACTGGAACGTCCACACTCTGGATCTTACGACCGTTAGAGAGCATTTCCCATTTGTGGAATACAACGTTGATTTGTGTGGTTTCACCAATTCACCTGCTTGATAGGATTACATCCTTTCGTCACCTGTTTTGCCATGTTCAGCGCCAACCGAGTGGCAATGACAACACGAAGCTCCCCTTGTCCTCTCAAGCCTGCGCTTCAACCAATGACGTCCACGGCTCTTGGTCCTGGAGCAAAGGGACGGACGGGTTTGGGCGGACTATACCCTCAATTAGACGCAGACGTTGAGATCCGGTTCTACGGCAATAATCTTCGGAACCGTCTCTTGGTTTTACGTGTGACGCTGGCGACACGCTTCTTTTTTTCAATCCCCGGCAGCGCCACACCTCACATAATCCAAACCGCTGGCCGCTCCAACAGCGTGTCAGCCAGCAAACCCCGGACCTCGTTTCCTCGACCCCGACGATTGATCGTGGTGACTGGCGTTATGTCTGGAGCATCTCGTCATACGTAGCGCAACGTTGCCGACAAGTGTTTTGCCCGTCGCACTTGAATGGTTGGCGTCTCTCGGAATCAGACCATGGCCATGATCCTCCCTGTTTTCTTCCTAGTCCCTTTCTTATTGCGAACCAACGGCCAATGCTACAACGAATGAATCAAACCTGACTGCTGCACCAATCGCGAACGCCCTTCAGCCTATTGTGCGCCCGCTCAGGATTCTGGCCGCCGTTCCAGCCTGCGCTTCATAACAGGCTAAGATTTCACCTAAAGTCCATGGTGGAAGTTGTAAGTCTCGAGATTATTCATGTGTAGCTGCGACACGTGTCTATAAGTACAACGAATCTTTAATTGAGTCATAGGGCAGAATATATGCCACCTGTCACGACGAGTACCGACTCCATGGGTAGAGCGGTTATGATCATATTCCGACTAACAGT